ATTCTGTGGAGATATTCCCAACTATTCTGCGAAGTTCTGGTCTCGGGATGTGTTCAATGAGCTCAAGGATTGGAGGAATTCTTGCGCCACAACTCATAGGACTTGTAATGCATTTATTTCTTTAAATGTCTACAATTAGTCAATAATTAGACCATATTTTCTATTTCAGTCAACATTTGGAAAGTCGTTTCCTCTATTGATCGCAGGGTTGGTGTCTGTGATGGCAGGCATTCTAGTCGTGAATTTGCCGGAAACCCTTAACAGACAACTTCCCGAAACATTAGAAGACATACAGTTTCTCAAAGACGGCAATAAAAGCTTTAAGTTGGGCTCAAAACAGAGTTGCAAACAATGGGGAGACAAAGACGAGAGAATCAAACTCTTAGATGATTCCCAAAGTTAGACAATGTTTTGGTTATATTTGAATATATTTTATGCATTGTTTTAAATGACATATATTTATTTGATTACAATTTTATAGTAGTTTTATATACTCTATTATCATCATTTAAGTCATACCGTAAATAGTTTCTTAAATATTTTATATCATTTTATATTAGTTTTAAATATTGATTTAATATACTGATAAACAACAGTTTATTATAAATTTATTTTATTAAATATTTAAACATTAATTGTAGTAAATATGATTTACTAGTCATTTTAATAAAATAAGCATTAAAAATAGTACTTTTTATACAATTTAAAAATTTTGTAAATAATTATAAATTGTGAGCAAAAAAGTGGAGTCAATGTAAGAATGTGTCACTTCTTGGACCCATTGGTCTTCGAACGGGTCGTGCGTTTGTCGGCCGGACTTGTCTTGTGTCCAATAGTGACAGTTGTGGTCGAGTTTGCAAACTTCACTTCAAAACTCACTTCATGGCTATCACTGGTGTGTCCACCACTTCTACGTCCACCACTGTCTACCTGTTGAGTGTCACGTGTATTGGTGTGGGGATCAGGTGAGCGGTTCCAATAGTCTGGGGCACACATCGTGTACTCAATGAGCAGGTCTTTGTAGAACTTCGTCAACTGATTCAACTTCTTTTGGATGCGATCCTTGGTCTTCACATCACCACCATTTGAGTGGTAGACAAACATTTGGGTGGAATCGTTGGCGAAGTTGCAAAAGTATCCCAAATGTCCGCCTTCTGTGGCCTTCACTATACGCTTCCACAACAGTTTCATCTCATGAGGTCGACCACTGATCTTAAACCTCGCCCTCTTGTCCCGGTCTTCAGGTTTAGGTTTACCGATAAATTGTGGTCCGTTTACCTTACGCTCATACAAGTCACCCATTTTGTCACTCCGGGTCACTCTTGGGATCAATTCAAAGTAGTGATCACTGACTGTATGTGCAGTCAAATGGTGTCAATGGATGCACCGATTGTGTGACTGATGGCACAAATGAACACAATGTGTGGCACAGGTATGGCACCAATGAACTGATCACTCAATTGCCCACAAGTACTGTTATGGCAAACCAATTGTACCAATTGTACCAGGTTGTACCAATTGTACCAGGTTGCATAAACTTTATTTCATATTAAATGCCACTATTATATTGAATGACGAAACAAATGGCACACAAATACTGTCTATTAATTGATGTAAACGTCTATCACTTGAAGTGTTGTCGGGTTTTCATACATTTACATCAATGCCAACGTATGCTATGAACTGCCCTCTCATGGCATTCATACACTTAACATTCAATTAGTTTTCCAAGTGTTTGACAATTGAATTGCCTTGGTCATTAATAGATTTTTACTATTAAAATATATATATCAAGTTAATAGACAATAATTTAAGCTTTGATAAAGTAATTGTTAATAGATTTTGTTCATTTGATACCTTAATAATAAAATATAATTCATTTACTTTTAATATTTTATATTAGTTCTCATTTTGATCATGTTAACTATTTTAAAGTGAGTTTATCAAATAATTTAATATCATAGATAACTAATGTACATTAGTGTATTACATTAGTGTATTTGTATTAATTAATAAATAATATATACAAGTTATTATATAACATTCAATTAATATAGTTTAATGACTTGTGTTCAACAGATTTAGCAAATGTTTAATTGATTCAATCGTTTGAGTATAGCTATACTCAAGCACAATCTACTTTATTCTGTTTGAATTCTAACATTATTTTTTTCCAAAAATGAGTTCAAAGCTATTGAATAATAAACACTTTACAAAATGTATTGTAATTATATTATTAATATTATACTCGAATTCATTGGTTTCATGTAATGATTGCAATGTAATGGTTGAGTCAAACAATGGTTTATATCGCGGATGCAATCAAAGTGTCACAACAGCCAGTCTTACGGCTCCAGAGTTTAAGTTTAAGACTATTTTCGCTTTTAAGGTATTTATTGTTAGATTGGACGTTATAATACCCTGATACAATAACTATGATAAGTAAATGAAAACATTAGGGCATCCCTTATGCGGAACCCCCGGTCGCCAATTTGAGATTCCGAAAGCCATTGTCTTTAACATACAGCCAATTGACAGAAGTGAATGCCACTAATTATGGGAAAGCCTGCAAACAGCCCCCACTGGCCAGCAGAGAGACATACAATTACTGGCAATCATCCGAAGATTGTCTGTTCCTCAATATCTTCACCCCATCTGTGGACCCAACGGCCAACCTATCGGTTATGGTCTACATTCACGGGGGAGGCCTACTGTTTGATAGTGCTCGACAAGTGCCCAGTGAACAGCTGAGTCTCCGTGATGTTGTTGTCGTTACTTTGAACTATCGTTTGGGTGTTTTCGGCTTTTTGTGTACTGATAGGGAGGACGCGCCCGGGAATGTGGGGCTCTGGGATCAGGCAATGGCTTTGAATTGGACTCAAAATAATA